AGTTCATATAAAAATAATGGATTTCTTTTTCCCCAAACTAATACATTTGTGGTTGTGCAGCGTAAAGACGTTGGTAAAACTTATTACGAAAACAATGACCCCAAGGTTACACTTCGTGCATGTGGGATGAAAGTCCTAGTTACATGAATGGCTTCGTAAGTAAGGAGCGAAGCCAATTTAGTGGGCAGAGAGCAAACGTATTGTTTCTAAAAGAGCCACATGCACACAAAAAATTAAGTTTTAGGTGTGGTTTGTGGGCTAAAAGAGCCATTTTTATATATGAAAATGTCATACGGATTTTTTATGATATGAAAGATGATGATGCCGATATGTGGACAATATACAGCTTTAACAATATATTGCAACGTGCCACAAATTTCGCTATGTGATCTTCCGACAAAGATCATGCAGTTTTTCCTTTGATTTATTGGTATACTGCAATAAATCAATAACTCTCAAGGACATTCGTCTTTACAATTATTCGTGTTGTTGGTGAAATAAGAGCGGGTTTGCGTGGAAAAGCGTCCAAAAACATGATATGAGACATGGAACGCTTCCCGCAATTGCACACACACCATTTAAAAATTTTGATGAAAATATCGTTTATAGCGTTATGCATGAAATTACTTCTATTTCTATTAGTATTGACGGAATGTCTATCAAAACTTGTTAGTTGGATGTCTCCTTACATATGGAACCATTTGTTGCGTCGCGTTAACACCACACTACAAACGCCTAAGTGCAAGTAATGTCGATGAGCCATAGTGGAGCGCCAAACAGTTCTAACGAAGAAAACAAATTAAAGTAACCAACGGGTTGTTCTTCTTATCAGCTATAAAGTCCATTACCGTATTGATTAACAAATTGCTAGGCATATTCGGTAACAGTTGGCTACAGAATACAAATTGATGATTAGAATTTGGTGAGAATGTAATGAGAGTAATATAAATGAGATGCGACGTTGCTTTTACACTATTTTTGCAACTACTATATGCCAAATATATAGGAAGGAATATCAAATGCTTGTTTTGTTCTCCTTTATTTATTTCAAGTGTAAAAAATGAACGCTTCGGAAACATTGCATTTCAAGTGGAGAGTATATGAAAAATGAATTTCATTTTTATTCCATTTCGCCTTCATGAGAGTTGTCATGAGAGTTGAAGAATTTTGTGGATATGTTCCGCCCGCCCCCCCTTTACAGAGAATGCGTTAAATATATTTGTGCATTTTAAAGATTTTTATAATTGCTTGTCTTTCCGCTCTTAAATAGGGGATAAGTTCATAATTAGTTGAAAAGTAATTTTGTTACATTCATGTCTCATGAATGGATTAATACCTACTAGGGCAGGCGAGAGTAGGGCTTACGAAACTCGTTTCGATTCTTCAATGAAGACATAAAAAGGAAAACCAAATAAAAAAAATTCTTCTCACTTATGTTATTAATATGTACATTTCTTTCTCATATGTCAGTTCACCATTTTATATGTAACAGATGTTAAGCTTGTAACCGAAAGAGCGGAAGAATGATAAATTTTTCAATGAAAATTGTAATGAAAATTGCACAACAGGATAATATCAACATTAATACCGATGATAGATACACACACCGACCTACAAACACAAACATAAATATAAACATACACGCATACATAAGCACCACATGCGCAGGCATATAACTGTGCAGTCAATACATATAAAACAAAAAGGGATTGCAAGCCGTATGACAATGTATGGCGACGGCGGAGTAAGGCAGAGAGCCTTGTATATATTTTCCATATTCTATGCGCTGCGCTGCGCCTTTCGCATAAACAAAAAATACACCTGTATACGGTTGTGTATGCATGCTTACTACTTCGTCGTTTAAACCCTTAAGCATTTTTTAATAAACTTTACTTTGCATGTGTATACGTTGTCGATATATTTGTGTTGAAAGTGCATTAACTCTTCAGTTTGATTGAGCGTGACTTGCAGACAAATGCTGTGAATTGCAAAGTTGTTTATGAACACAACACAAATATCCAAATACAAATAAGATGACATGTTAAATTACTATTATGGATTTACTAAATGAAATTTTAAGCAAAACATACTGGAACACGTCTAGTCTAAGCTTAAATCTAAACAATTCACTCCGTATGAATTATTTATTTTGTTTGCATTTAAAGGTTATGAATACGAGCAAATCTGTTTATATTTATACATGTGTGCGTCATAGAGAGCGCGTTGGCTAACTGGTTAGTAAAGCAAATATTGGAAGCTTTAATAAAAAAAATGATTCAACTTTTTCTAGTTCATTTCAAATTTAAAATATTTAAATATATAATATATATATATATATATATATATATATATATATTTATTTATTTATTATATTTTTGATTTCATTAATATTTGCTTGTCGTTGCTTTGTAACCTTTTTGTATATTGCTTACCTTAATTCACGTCCAGGTTCGGCACGTAGATGCGGTGTCTGTATAGATTCCCGAAATATGGCACCACCCTCACCTTCAATACGCAACGCATGAGCACCTATGGTGACTTCATTGCGATTTACAGAAAATAAATTTCGACCGGCAGTGTCATTGATGCGAAATCCTTTAGTCAAGCATTCGAGCTTATCGTGCCCGAGGAATAAATGATTTTCGAGCATGCCATTCATGTCACGTGTATTGATTGAAAAATTACGTGATGACTCTGTTTGTTGAAGATGATGTGTGATGGCACCAATAGCGCACATAAAAACAAACAAACGAGCAAAATAGGAGAAAAAAAATGAAATAAAAAGAGAGAATCGTATAAGATTTAAACACACAAAACTATGCAATCATGTAGATATAGAATCAGGTAAGAAAAGTTATTAGGGCCTTAAGACGAATTTTGGATACTCTTTCTACTAAGATTAGAGACGAAAGTGAAACCGTGTCTTTACACATTAGTTAGTTTTTTAATAAGCACTTAAGAGGGCAAAATTTATACAACCACTTCTTGCTCTAGTTCTTTGCTAAATGATATTCTTAGAGTTTCATCTAGAAGCTGCTCCTTCACGTACATCGTTTTTAGTTGCGCGACACGTTAGCGACATCTAAGCAATATTTGATTTTTCCAAATTGTTGCCGTGTCTGCCGCAAAATTTCCCAGTTTCTGAGAGTAGTAAGGTTCAGGGTCATTAGGAGCTCATTGCTTATTGTTCGGAATACTGTTAAAAAATGCTAATTGCCACTAGTGCGGGTCCTTGCAATCGGATTCGAGCTTTGACTATATAGAAGTTTTTTTTTAACCATGTTATGGTTCATAATTAATTGAAATTTGAAACTTAAAAATTGGAAACTGGAAACTGGAAAAGTTACTCAAACATATCTAAATATCGTATAATTTCGAAAGAAGCAAAGTTTCATTTTCCTATGGAAATGCCACATAGTTTGATGTATAAAACTTAATCATTTTGAAATTCTGTTGTGTCTGCACTTGTTTCGATGGGTTCGGTGTTTTATTGACCAAAAATACTTTTTTGAAGATACAACGAACGCTATTGATGGGTATTTCCAAACGTTATCAAGCGGTTGAAGCTGTTCGCAAAATTTTCTTGTTGGATAGGTGGATGGTGTAGAAAGCCTGCCTAGACTTGAGCAAATATACACCAAAAGTCAAATCAACATCCTACACACTTATCTATGTCTATGCAGTGTCTATAAAGATAAATTAAACTGGGCAACCGCAGTCACAAACATATCTCGACACAAATAACAGACAGCTCTGTACATGACCTCCAGAGGAAACGTACTACAAAGGTATGCATGTTTCTGTTGTTTGTTTGATTATTTTCTTCGTTTTCTTTTTTTTTTTTTTTTTTCTATATCATATTTCTAAATATTAACTATATATTTTGATATATATATATATATATATATATATACAGCATACACTTACGGAAATGAAAAACTGTTTGTCTTAATAACATGTCTTGTCTTATTATGTGCTTGTGTGTGTACGCATATGTGCACGCCTTTATGAGCGGCTTTTTCACACTACTTTCTTTCTTATCGCATGTTCAGCAGAAACGAATATTTTTTCTTTTTTTGTTTTCGCTGGTCTTTGGCTTTTTTTATTTTGATTTCTTGCACAACTGAAAAATATGTATAAATCTCGTCTGTCTTCTTAAGTTATCTGTAATTGTGCATCAGTGTTGTGAATGTGTGGTTGTATTTTACTTTTTTTTTTTGTTTTTTTTTTTTTTGCGCGTGTGTTGCGTGTGTTTGCGTGTGTGCGTGTGCGTATGTGTGTGTGTGTGTGTGTGTGTGTGCTCATATGCTTAACACACTTTAGTTGCCCATGATTTATGTTTTTAAACACTTGTATGTGTTAAGTGAATGATGGTCACATTTGTTAGTGACATTTATTTTAAAATCCAAGTATATCTCTTTTTATCATTTTCGACAATATTTTCTTTTTCCTTTATTTATGAACAAAATTACATTTAATAATATTTTAAAATTTTCTTCAAAAATGCTCATATGTCAAGTAAGTAAGTAAATATTTTGAAGAATAACATGCTGTATAAATGACATTTGCTTGAGCAATTTGTTGTTGTTGTTCTTGTTGTTATTCAAATTCGTTACAAAAGATTTATTTATGAACGACTTAATACAATCTGTTGTAATTTGCAAAGAAAATTTGCTGAAAAGTTTCATTTCATTTTTAAAGCGATCTAACGAATGGTTTAAAATTGATTTAATTTTTAATTCGGAAATATGAAAGCATATAAACATATTGTATTATATTTATGTTACTGATATGCCGCGTCACTAATAAGTTTATACGCAGAGTATCCGTATGCGGATGAGGCACAACAATATTGGGCTCGCACAAAATTTCATACCGGAATTCTGACCGAACCATTACATAATTGTCGTATGTATGCATGTATGTATGTATGTATGTGTTACAATTGAAAAGCCGTGTACTAAATGGAAGGTATAATTTGTGCTGGTATATTAGAGCAGCGTTGTTCGCGTACTGAAAATCGTACAACCATAATATATTTAGAAAGGTTTGAGAATAATACAAAATCGAAGAGTGAAGATAAGATCAGGAGTTTATCGCCGCAAAGCCTCGTGACATGCCTTAATTTAAGCAAAATGTGCCGGAGGCAAATCCGTATGGAACGAATCGAAATCTTATGGAACGAAGTGCTGTGCAGGAAACTCAACATGAATGGGGCCAAATTATTCTTGAACAAATAAAGCCAATTTAAAGGTAAGTGAATTGAGAATTGCTTTACAGATATCCGGTAAAACGAGTTTAGTCTGACCGAAACTCTGATCAAACTCGGGTCCATCTTTTTTTGAGATAGGCTATTTTTGTGAGAGATTTCAGATTATCGTATTCTATATGTCACGTCAGACAATAATTGCCTATAGTCTCGGTTATGTCTCGGGGCAAACTGCAATTTAGCGATAATCTACACCCACTCTTCTTATGTGGTGATTGGACATCGAATATTGCTTTCCAGGAAGTTAGAAAAATTCCGGCGTAATGGTACTTGCTGAACAGGCCGCATAATGACAATTGGGCTAGCACAGGTCATTGTCACCTGATAAGGAAATTTTTCGAATATTAAGACCTACATACACCATATTATTGAATCCGACAAAAATCAAAACCTTTAAAAATCAATGCAACAACTGACAGGGTTATCCTTAAGATTGTCACATTGAACGAGGTAAGCTATGAATTTCTGAAGGTTTACTTTATTCATTGACCCTACTCACTGTAACTTTCATTTCTTGCCAAAGCTCACACCCACCATCTTTTTATCAAATGCAACAATTAAGTTTTGTTTTGTTATTCCGCATTGCGATCCTCCCAATCACGCTGATACTGACCCTTGATCATCACTAGCGCTTTAATAAATTTAGTTATTTCCGTGTGCCGACTAGAACCCCTAACAAAAAACTCCTTGAAAAAGTAGGTATGACTTACCTAAATATGGATATCATTTTTTTTTCTCCTTTTACTTCTTATAAGACTAGATTTTTATCTAGAAGTGTACCTTGTACCTTATAGCAAAAACTTTGAATTAATTATAAGATTATATTCATACCCATCACCGTAGGATGAGGGGAATATTTATTTTGTCAAAACTTTATTAGGCGCAGAAGAAAGTACCAGGGACCCCAAAAAGTATATATATTTTTGATCAGCATCAAATTCTAACTCGATTTAAGCATCTTCGTTTGTCCGTCTATGTATTGCCCGTTGTAAATATTCGCCTGGCCAAAAAAATGAACCCATCGACTTAAAATTTGACAGAGACAGTCAATGCTCCTGCACACGCGTTTGTATTGAAAATGGCTTAAGTTGGCTGAAGGACGCGCCGACAACACCACGTGAACTGGGAGCACCTCTGTTTTTAAAAGGAATCAAAAATTGGTTTTTTGCTCATTACTCTTAAAATATGACAGGTAACTGTACGAAAATTTAAATGCATTTTCCCTGAGCGACGCATTACAGAGAGATGCATCTGTGCAAAAATGGAAAATATTGACCGCGCCTAGCCAATATTATAGCGTATTAAAATTGAACTATTTTTTCAATACAACAACAATCTTCAACATCCTCATAAAGTGTATAAATTCTTGGTCAGCTTCAAATTTTGATTGCATCTGACCATTTTCGTGTGCCCAGCCGTGTAACATCTGGGATATAGATTCTCCCGATAGCAAAAATAGAAATTTGCGAAAGAGTTTGGAAGCGAATTCAACTTTTCAAAGGACACGGCTAGAGCAACAATACTTTTTGGCACAGCAAATACATTTACTAAAATTATGCACCCGACAAGGCAGGTAGGTGCCTGCCTGTTATCGAGTTAATAGTGAAGACATACAAGAAGGTCGATACAAAAAAAATCAAATCTCGTCTTCAAATAATTTTTATTTCTTTTCTATTTCATATCCCGGCTGGTGGGTGTTTGTTGCCTTATCGGCTTATCGATATACTTCGTAGGTCAGAATGTCTTTCGATATATATATGAAATAAACTTAATCGTGACCCCTGGTTGGCTGTTGCACTTTGACTTTAATCTTAAATCCTTGTTTGGAAAATCAAATGGTGTTAACTTCGTCCTTTTAATTGTCACCGAAATACTCGAAAAATTTTTACATAATACATTTACGTACGTTTATCTAGACTTAAGTCAATTCTGAAAAATATGTGCTATACTTAATGCCTTATTTCGTTACGTTTTTACCGCACATTACGTTACCTTCAGAATACGAAATTCAGGCCCGTTCTTTCGACTTTATTTCCGAAAGACCATCCAATATAAAGGAACTCAAAAAAGAAAACACTTGTCTTATAACACCTTCTAGACCGTATTTCTGCAAATAGGTGTTTTGTCTCTTAAGTGTGAAGGTAACAAGTATGAAAGTTATATTCGGTTGGGGACGAATCTTGTATGAATATTGTATGAATTTTGCACCATACACCGCTCAATTACAGAGACAAAATTGGTATTGAAAGAAAATAGTTTCCGTTTCTCCCCGCCGAAGATATCACAAAAGCCAAGGCACCATTTATTCAAAGGCCATTGTTTATCTCAAAAAAAGGGGTGAACAGGGGAGAGAGCAAACACCCTGTTTGTACATAGTAGGCAATTAGGTACCCCCGAAATTATTAGAAAACTCCGCTTCAGTAAGAATGGAAATGAATAGACTTTGCGCAGAACGAGCTTTGACACCGAATCAAAGTTTAATTCACTGGAAGTCTTCTTCCGCAACATCCAAAGCTTGTATGGACGCTTAAACGGATAGTATACCAGGATTTACTATACTAGACTAGACAGAATCGATGAATGTACGCAAACTTTAGACACTTAAAGGGGATAATTTCCATTCAGCAGAATGCTTATTCAAAACTTGCTCCCTGGTGGCTTTTGCAAAAATATTTCTATTGGTTTAACATACAGAGAAGTGGCACCATACAAATCGTGATTTCGCGAAAGCAACGGTGTTTCCTCAGCCGATTTCGTAGACATTCGGCAGAGTATCTCCAGGCTAATTAAATTTAGTGCTAAGATTAACGCAAAAGTCGCATGTGTGGACAGAAGCGTATTGATTTTACAAGGAGATCGTCGATCGCGTGAGGTCTGCAGATGATCACGGGCGGCGAACCGGTATAAAAAGATCCGTGGTGTACTTATCAATAAATACCCCCAGGGCAACTATAATAAAGAAAATGATTTGTTCTTTAACCGGATTACTCGGGCTTCTCAGCGTTCTCACTTCATGCCTTTTGAACAATTTATTTAAACTTGTCCTATGCGCCGTTGTTGATTTTCTAGCTTTTGCGTCGCATGTGCACAGATATTACTACATCCTTCGTGGTCTCTCTACGTATAATTTTTCGTAACCACCCTTGCGGCTGGTCAAATAATAAAAGTAATAATAAAAAAAAACAAGTAAGAAAATTATATTCGGTCGTGACCGAACCCTTTTATACCCGTCACCGTTATCCTAAAAAGGACAATGAAAGTAAAAACATTAAATTTTCGTGCCCTGTAATATAGAATGGGCGCGACTGATTTTTGGTGCTTTCAAAATACAAGTCTTTATTGCTTAGACATGTGAGCGTTGTATGCATGTCCTTGGAAAAGTTGAACTCACTTCCAATTTCTTTTGCCAATTTGTTGGCGATATCTTCATTACGGGAGGGTGTTTACCATAAATATAATATTATGCAATTGCGCATACTCACGGATGGTTAGAAGGACAGACGGTTATGTGTGTTAGGTGAATTTCAAATTTGAAGCTGGCCGTGAATTTAGACATTTTATGGGGTTTTTGAAGAATGTTTCTGAGCCTTAGAAAAGTATTGAAAAAAATAATTAAAATTTAATACACTATATTACCAACCAAATTCCTTTTGAAAAACAGAGATGTTCTCAGTTTGCGTGACTCTGCGGGAATGTCCTCTAACCGATTTGGACCATTTTCAATGCCAATCGGAGTGCAGGAACATCAAATGTTTCCGTCAAACTTTAAGTTGATAGCTTTATTGTTGCGGCCAGGAGAATGTTCACAACAGACATTACACAGACGGACAAATGGATATCGACACAAATCGATTTAGAATTTTTTTGCTGATCAAGAATATGTATAGTTTGTGGGATCTCTGATCCTTCCTTTAGGGCGTTGCAAATTTTTTGAAAAAATGAATCATGAATGAGTTATCCTTCGGTGACGGGTATAAAAACGCGATTAAAAAGTTTTAAATAGCGGGTGATTTTAGGCAGCGACCTCGCCTGAGAAATGGACTTTCTGAGCTCACATAAGCCCTTTTGAAAATCATTGTTGATTATTTAAGTGATCGTTTAAAGCCATAAAAAAAGGAAAAACAGTCGAAAAAAGTTCAGAAAGTAGCATCACCTACTAAAGCATTTATTCATATTTGGCTGCAAATTGATTTGTGAAGTATAGCGTCATGCTTTCTCCATTTATGTAGCATTTAACATTCGTATAGATGTGTTGAATGAAACACATATTTGTTTAAATTTCAACATATTCCCAGAATACAAGCTAACAGAAACAAGCCATCGGTAAGTATCAAAAGATTCGTTCAAACTAAAAGAAATCTAAAATAAATTCTTCCTTATTATATATCTTTTATGCTTGTCCTATAATGAACAAACTAGAGCTAAAGTAGGACATAAAGTTGTTTTAATATGAACCGAATATCAAACAGAATCTCTTTTAATCTAAGATGCAAGCATGAATGTATATGTATATGCGTTTTTGTGTGTACGCTTATGTGTTTATGTTTATATATGGATGTGTTTTCTTGCATCCTTTTCAAATTCAAACGATTACCTACATGCACACAGACAATAAGTGTACAGTGTATACAGTTTAACATTCTATTTGATGTTTGTTTATGCCTGTGCGATGAATTAACATGAATAAGTTTATTCATCATTTCGCATGGTTACGTATATGCTTGAATGCTAATGTATATCAAATAGATATTTTGACAAATTATATTCTGTGTATATGCAGGTTCTTGAATAATAACTTCATTTGTAAACAAATTATGGTAAATAGTTTGTGACAAACATGTGAAACTTTCCAGCTCATTAAATCCTATTTATGGCATTGATGACAGACTAACAAATTAGCCGTAAAACCTGTTATATCTATTTTAACTAACACACAAACACACACACAAACATAGATACAGACACACTCAGATAAATACGCTTATGCAAATGCAGAAAAAGAAAGAAAGAAAGAGAGTGAGAGAGAGAGAGAGAGAGAAAGAGAGAGAGAGAGAGAGAGAAAGAGAAAGAAAGAAAGAGAAAGAGAGAGAGAGAGAGAGAGAGAGAGAGAGAGAGAGAGAGAGAGAGAGAGACGTTTATAAAAAAAGGGGCGAAAAATATTGAAGCTTAAAGCTGAAATTTAAATACCTATAGATATGGGTTGACCATGTCGTGAGCGTATGGTAGACGCTCTTAGCATATCCATTATTAGGGATTGTCCGTTTAACTGTATGCCGCCAGGAACGATTTTAAGTTGACCCATGCCTTCCTATGAACAATGAATGAATAAATGCAATCAAAGTAATTGTAGAAAATTCTTCTCTCTCTGATCACAGAGTATATTTTATAATCTTTCAATCTATACTTATATCACATTTATTATTATATACATATGGAAAGGAAGATCACTACCTACCGTTGAGAATTCCATGACTTTAAGTATCCAAAGCGTTAGAACCAAATTGGTGATAATTAATAGCATTAGCAACAATAACAGAATATAAAGGCATTTCTTACGCCATCCTGTCAAACCGAGATGCATTTCGATGTCGTCTACTATGCTAGAGTTGGATAAACCTTTCACTGTTGCAGTACAATCGCCGTCACCACCACTACTGCTGGCACCCATTTTTTTGTGCCTACGCTGGCGACGTTCCTTATAATTGCTATTGTTGTTGTTCTTTTTACCTTTCGTATGAAAATCGGGTTTTGTATCATCCACCAAATCCACACCATCTGCTAAATTATTATAATTACGCTTACTAGCGGTAACAACTGACCCCACCGGTGTTATAAAGCCCGATGGTAGGGTACGTGTCTTAAATGAACGTGTTGTTCCGTTATTATTACCACTACCAGTGGTAACACTTCCGCTTCCGATTAGTGAAGGTGGTGCATGAGCTACGGTGTCTGTTATAATAACACCTGTACTACTGCTTATCATCGTTTTTGTCTCATTTGTAGTTTGTAAAGCTTGCTCATGCACGCCCGGATCTACTTGAGATTTCTTGTGGTCGTATTGCAAGTGCCTTTCGTTATTGTTGTATCTTAAAGTATCATTGTTTCCGCTGCCACTGTTAAAGCTATAATCATTGGTTCGTTCTTTGGCATCTATCGCATTGTCTTTGGTTAAGGTCGTTATTGTTGTTGTTGTTATTGCTGTTGTTGTTGTTGTTGTTGTTGTTGTTGTTGTTGTCGTTGTCGTCCTCGTCGTCGTCGTCGTCGTCGTACACGGCTTATGCAATTTTTGTTCTTCTTTTAATAATTGTTGTTGCTTTTTACGCTTGAAAGTTGAGGTGGGTGTAGTAAATACAAATGATGGCTGTTGTGGTTGTGTAACAATATTTAAATCATCTCTTTTTGTAATTGGTGTCGTTGCTGCCGTAAATGAGGTCTGTGGAAGAATTTCGTTAGATAAGTCTTCAGGTGTGCCATTGAACGCATAGCCATTTGTTTTACTACTGGCTCTTGATAATGATTTGTAATTGATTTTTGAACAGTAAAATTGATGATAATAATAAAGATGATAGTGGTGGTAGTGATGGTGGTGGTGGTGGTGGTGGTGGTTGTAGTAGTAGTGATGAGGGTATTTTTATAATAAATTAATAATGATGATGATGATGATGATGATAGTGATGATTATTTGGGTGGGGAGGGTTTTTTTTTTATATGCAAATAAAAGTAAAAAAATATTTTACATTTATTTGATGAAATGAAAACTCGGCATAATTAAATTTCATTCTTTATTCTCTACAATTAAATAAAATTATATATTAAATTTGGTACCACAAAACATTTTCTACCTAATTAAATAATTTTAATTATACGTAAACATCGTTAAAACGCAAACGATCTCCTTTAATGTACTCAATTTGTCATCGCAATACATTGAATGAAAAAATATATAAATAAATAAATAAATAAATAAATAAATAAAAATAAGAGAACAAAAAGCAAATGAAACCAAAAAACTATTAAGAAGAAAAAATTGTTCTTATCATAAATCCACAACAACTGCTTACCGTTTATCGTTCTGACTGTAATTATGACCATGAGATTGTATTTGAAATTGCTTTGACTGCATATCTTCGAAATCGTCCACATTTGCAACTACATTATCATCATTATCATCGCGGCAACCAGAGGACAGTAAGACCCGGTCATCATTTATTAGAGGAGTTGTTGACTGAAATAAAAAATGGAATGTGTGTGTATGTGTAAAAAAATAAATAAATTTTTACCTCTACATTCTAGATGTTGTCCTTGCATTTAAAACAATTTTGGCGTATGTGAATATAATGAAAATATTTGGATTACGTCCAATAAGACAAAAAATATAACAATAAAAAAAAAAAAATGAACGAAACTGCTGCTGCATCAGTCATTAAAAGCAGAACTAAAAAATTATTCATTTTGTTTTAATAGTTCACATTGGGAGAGCGCATTCATTTTAAAGGGACAATCAAGCGTTATATTAAGCATAACTAGCGTTTCACTTGAAAAGTTTGCATTAGAACAGTGTCTTCAGCCTTTAAGCTACAAGAGGTGTGAAATTTCTCTCAGGTATCAGCAAAATAGTTTTGCTCAGATTCCGAAACGCCGAACTAGGGGCTAACATAATTTCATTTGGGAAAACATTGCTTTGCGTGTTCACTTCGAACCAACTCAAACAACTCACTATCACACAAAGAAATTGCACTATGAGGAGCGTTTTAAAATAAACAACGCATTTCGTTACAACGAATTGACGAAGGTCGAGATTGGACTACTACATCCTACTACTACATGAGATTCTGTTGAAAGTAAAAACTAACCGTATGTAAGGAAGTTCAGCAACAGTGTTGTGATATTCCGATCGTTGTAAAAGTGTTTGTCGAACAAGGACTCAATGGTAAATTCTATATTAAATCAGTAAAAATTTCTGATCATCTGAAAGACCAGGATCCACGAACAGCACTAGCGGCTATAAAGAAGATTGTGAAAACATAAGTCTTGATCAGCACGTTAGGGAATTCTGCCGGAATTCGGTAAAGGTTTCGTCCAAGTCTTCATTGCAATTAATGAAAATGGAGTTTAATTAATCACATTTCACCTTCCGAAAGCTTTTCTCATCCTGCATCTCCTAACTAAAGACGACCAAAAATTGTGCAGAAAAAACAAAAATTGCATTTGGGGAATCAGTCACTCAACGTGTTCGATTCATCGCATGCGAGAAAATACATTGGTCATGATGGCTTCCACCGATTCAAGAATCATAGATTCCAGATATCCAATTGATATGCACCTTTGTGAAAATGGAGCTGAGGGATGTATCTTTACTAGATATGCTAGATACACGTTTTTGAGAATTTACTTACTATGGAGAGCACTTTGTCTTATCATCGAAATGTAATGCATAAATAATTTAATTGCGATAATCAGGAGAATGAGGCGGCTATAAAAGATTCTAGTGTACGTCGCTATGGCTTCGGCGTGAAAGACTGCAGTTATTTGAAATATGCATCATTCATAGTTTCAAAACTTTTCTTAAATATGTAAACAATTGACCGAGCATAACGTAGCGCGTCCATAATTTAAAATTTTCACAGTTTCACATCCATGTCACTGAACTACCGTCATGGTAACCATTACAAATTCTTTTATAAGCGTGAATAGCGCAATTGCCTTAATCGAAACGTATTTGTAAAGTATTCCGAAATTTCCCAAAATATAGCTTAGCTTCAAAAATCTATTATTTTCGAATGACTTAATAAATATTATAAACTTTTCCTTTCGATGAACTGTTAACGTCTCTGAATATGGCTTGGTGGGAGTATCGTGCAACTTTTGAACTACTACAACTATTAGGAAAAATGCTATACAATTTTTTTTCTTTTCTTTCTTTCAACTTCCATAATAAATTACTCCAGTGAATGGATCAATTTGAACGAAGCCATCATTTATATGCACTGAGCATTTACAGATCTTCGAAGAAAAAATGTTTTATCTCATCTGAGCTTGATCAAGGACCGCCTCAATCTCAAACGAAATAATCTTTCGACTACTCTTTCAAAACTAATTTGTATGAATTTTTTTTAACGATCTGCAAATAATTTCGTAATGATCCTTGACTTGAAACTAAAGAAAAATATTTAAATTTTTTCTATTTTTATACCCACCACGGAAGGATGTGTCTAACACCCAAAAAGACGCATATATTCTTGATCAGTGTGATATTCTGCATTGATTTAGCCATGTCTGCTCGTCTGTGTGGTGTTTGTGTGGGCATCGCAAAAATAAAGATATCGACATTAAATTTAGCTGGTACTGAAAATGGGCCAAATCGGTCAGAGGAGAAGATCGCAGTGGAGCATAAATTGAAAGCAACTCCGGGTTTCTTAACAAATATTTGTTCATTTTTGCTCGTTACTCAGAAATTATGAAAGTTGCAAGGTTCAAATTTTTCACGTGCTTTGCTTTACTTTACTTTACTCTACTCTTTAAGTGCAAAAATTAAAAAAATCAGCAAAGGGCATACAATGTTACAAGGGATTAGACAAGACTGAATGTTTCAAACTATTTTGTCCACTCCTCAAATGAAGATATATTATATGGGTTAATTTTAATATGAATAGATATGGTAAATATCATAATTAATTTTTTCTTAATAATACCAGCGATGAGGGGAATCAAATAAAAGAACTTGGAGGGTAGAATGCGAAAAGCATAGTGGTGGGTATGCGAGATGCGGCCCCAGGCGAATAAAACTTCCTTACTTTTATAATCAGAAATATGTATACAAACATCTTTCGCGTAAATACTACGCCATTAATATTCGTTGGCGGTTGGCAAAAATCTATGCTTCATTACGAAAACGTAAAAGTGTACACAGAGAACAAACAGTTCAATAAAATATTAAATTAGTTTAAGTGGCTTCGTTGTTCGGCATCAGTTTTCCGGCGTCAATTTTTTCCATGTAAATGCAAATGACTTTGAAAACTACGAATAAAACATTTCACAATGACTTTTCTAAATTCCATTGATTATAGTGACAGCTTAAACATCTCGGCCACATCATTAAATTTATATATTTACAATAAGTACAAATACTGTTTATATATTATATTCCAATTAGACACTTAATCGATAATCTCTTTTTTCACTATAAACAAATTAAAAATTAATTAAGCGTATGCTAAGCGAAAAAGGGGAACAGTTGTATTTTCGTTACGATAAATCTTTCGTATCGAATGTGAACTTGCTGGAGAATTGATTGGAGAACAGTTCATTTTTTCTTTCTTTTTTTTTTTTTTTTTTTAATCACGCTGAGCTGAGTGTTACTTCTGCAGCTCTCTTAATAGCTTTACATTATAAAAAATGAATTCTTATTTTTCTTTGGAGATTATTTGTTTTAATAACTTAGGGTGCCTGGGTCTCAGATGCGTTCAAGTTTCGGTAATTACAAGAACAGTCTAATGCACGGATCGAATGAATAGTGACGCGAACTTCACTTCGAGTTTGATGCCTATCAAACGTTACCAATGATATGACAAACTTGACGTATTTCCACATTTCCGTTAGTATAAAAATAAATACAAGCGAAATGTACATCTGTTATGCATCAATAATTTTTTGGTAATGGCAAAGAAATAAAAACAAAAAAAAAAAAAAAAAAAAAAAACAAGAAGAATGATAATAAAAACGAACAATTAATTAAAAAATCACTAATTGGGCAAAAAAAGATTATTTCATATCGTAAAAGTTTAACTTATTTATTGTTAAAACACAGGCCCGTGACGTAGACTTTTTTGTGAAAATTTCAAATTGATTTTATGGCAAAAGAATATCAAATGATGTTGCCGTTCTTCTTGATTTAATGGGGAAGAGTTTTTCTGAAATAATAAATACATGCGGACGGGCGTAAATATCATATGAAAGAAAACTAAGCAATTCAATGGTATTTTATTCAAAAAACAACTTACTAATGCTAGTCATTGCCTCTTCCATTTTGTTTTTTTTTTTTTTTTTTTTTTTTTTTTTTAACGACAAACAAGTGCTTTCGTCCAGGCAGTAGCCCAGTGGGAAGCAGCCGATGCATAACCGGTATTTCAATTTGTTTCGTTATAACCGAAACAATAGAAACCGCAGTCGGTTATCAGTTAGATTCAGATACATAGAATCCAACGACTTAATTCGTAATCGGCAATACCGCTTTCGCAAAAATCGTTCGACTAGTGATTTAAGGCCTTATTTTATGGAAAATTAAAGCTAGGCAATTCACCATTTCAGCGAAAATAGAATCCTTGCCTTATCAGTCTGGCAACTGAAGCGCGCGAGATCGTACGCTTTTGTTAGTTTTATTGCTAAAAATTTTTTGTTTTCGTTTTATACGCGTTTAAAACTCGATTTATGTAAAAGTATAAAGATTTGAACGTGTAAAGTGTAAAAATTCATTAATTTCATTAAAATTTTTGTGATTTTCATTTTGGTTCTTGCGATTAGCACTTGTGATCGCAATAATAAATCTCTTTCGAGTCTTATCTAGTTTTTTCTTTTGAGTTTTTGTTTTTCTTTTTTTATTTTCTTCCTTTGGTGTGAATAGCTTTTCTCTTGGCTTATTTACCGTTGCTTTAGTAGTGCAGATCTTACATGTAATTTAAGAGAAAATTTAAGAGAAAATTTTTCTGATACGTATTCTCTCTTTTTTCGTGCTTCCAGTTTGGTTTTGCTTTCTCTTGTTCTTTTGCTCTCTTGTTACAGTGACAACGTTTATTAAATTTCTTAAATTTGTAGATAAACTTAGAGTAGTGGATTCTTTTGAATTTTTTTCTTTTTGGTCCTAATAAATCACTTCTTTCTTTTCGTTGGCTTGACATGGAGTGCTTATATACACCGTGTCGGGCGAGACAAAAACAGGCCCGGAATCGGATAGATTCGTTTCTTGTTGGCTCTGCGAGCGCTTTCGTCATGCAAAATATGAAAGTATTCTCGGCCGTGCTGCTGACGCAGTCCCTGACACTTCCAAAGGCTTAAGTTGGTCATGTCCTGACTGTAGGCAGTGGGACATTGATTTCTACAAACTTTTCACGGAGACGCGAAATGGCTTTTCGGAATTGAGTAGAAATCTCGGCTCCTTGTGGGAGAAGTTTGAGCTTATTAAATCTAGGTTTGACGAGTGCCGTTTTATTGAGCACTCGTCTTCTACCC